ACCCTCTCCAACAGCTCCCTGTCTTTCCAGTACTGGGTGTTCCAGACCTATACCTTCCACATAGAACATACAGCTATTGGTAAAATATAAAAATAAAAGACTAAATCAATAAGAGAACCTAAAGCTACTTCAGTCAGAGCTCACTTATGGTACTGTAATGTTTAATCATGATTGCACCACCTTAAACTTCAGCAAAACAGGAGTTACTCAGGAGCTGCAGACATACTACAAAAGAATGTGCTTTAAAAGCTGAAAAGTAACTAAAGCCACAGAAAACTCCAATGTCAGAGCAAGACTGATGCATGCAAGATGTTAAATGTGACTCAGTGCAGGCTTAGAGTGCCTCATGTTTTTCACTTATTTTCATAATATACTCTTTAATTCCACTTACATCACAATTAAGATCCCATGTACAGAAACAAATAAGAAGGACACACTTCTCTAAGAATGTGCCACTGAATTCTTTACCTCATCAAAATAGATCTGATTACTTAAGAAATGAAAGGAAGCAATAAGCTTAACTTTAAATTTTAAACCAAACTCAGGTAAAATGCTTAATGAACGTCAGCAGGTTCCTGCTCATATAGAGACTGCTATGTAATCCTTAAATTGTCAAATTAATATGAAGCAATTCTGTAAACAGCAAACACACTGTGAAACAGACCAATAATCTAGTCACAGGGAATGTATATTGCAGGTGTGTATTAAAACTCATTCACCATATTTGGAATTTTATCGAGTATTTTAAATATAAATGCAAAATTACAATCACAAAAAATAACGTCACCCTGTGACACACTCATGGTTTTGATTAACAGTGATGTTAAGCTTTTCAAAAGTTTTAGATAGAGTAGTACTTCTTTTCAGTGTATGGGCTATTCAAGTAGTATTTCCCTTGGTGGGGGAACAAAGAACTAAATTTTTCACAGCAGTTTTTATTTGTGTACTTGTGTCACAGAATGTTTGTGAGTTTTAATTAAAAAAAAAAAAAAAGAAAAAGGATGACTGTCAAAATAAAATATGAGATAATGACATCTGATTACTGAGAAGTAGACAGATACTATATATCAAAAATATGTACCACATTAAAGTTCAAAGATTTTCAAAGCCAGTATACATTCAAAAATAATCATGAACAATTACAACTCAAAGAATGATACAAAACAGAGAGAATACATTATTTGTATCATAAAAGTTATTAATTAAAAATTTTCTAACCCTTTAAAATATGTTTTGTTGAATTAAGTGCACACTTTAGTGGAAACATTATCTACCAAAAGTATGTATCATTCAGCAAAGTCTAACATCCCTGTACCATCAATGAGATCCTTAAGAATAGAGAAGGAAAAAAAAAAGAAAAAGAAAAAAAATAACATATCAAACAAAGAAAATCTGTTAGAACAAATTTTCCCATAGTCTGTACTGCATGCATAATATTTTGAAGTTACTAGGACACATTTTATGCCTAAATCCAGCCATATTTCCAGATTGACATCAAATTGATGATACTCATTCTATCAGAATTCAGTGTTCTCCAGCTGTGTTACTACTAGCAAAGTTTGCAGACTAAAGGCTCATTATACGGAATAGCAACTATCCCCTTTCTGAATAACTGAAATAATCACCAAAGTGTATTTCAGAAGAAAATTCAAACTCAGAAGAGTCTTTCAGCATAAACAGATGTTCACTGTTGTCTCTCCCAGCATTTGCTCCCACAGCTACCTGCTTCTGTCCCTGTGGAAGGTAGCTGTGGAGGAGTAGCACATCCTTGATTACCAGATCTAATCCCACTATTCACTTCACTGATTTCCACAATCAAGATAAAATTTCATGCTTTTCTGCTCCTTTATGCTCAATAAAATCAACACTTCAATAGGAGTCTAAATATCTTTTTTTTTTTTTTTT